AATTAGTGACAGCACTGGGGGTTAGTGCTTATATTTTCTGATTTTTGTTGTTATTGTTGTTCAGTCATCTTTTCTCTGCATCACATAACCTTTGGGCATGTCCCTTCCCCATTTCCCTGAATAGATCACCCTGTACAAGTACAAAATGAAGCAAATAATAGGCCAAAAGGGTCAGACATTGGGCAGTGAGACACCAGACCTTTTGTTGGAGCTCTTCAATGTTGTCGAAGAAGCTCTGATAATTGGGGCACACCAACGGGATGTCATCTTCACATTGCTCTCGGATCCTGCACTCCAGCTCTGCGTTCATCTCCTCTAGGCCGCGAACCTTCTCCAAGTAGTTGGCAAGTCTGTCATTCAAGAATTGCATTGTCTCCTTCTCATTGCTATTGAATGCCCCATCATCGCACCAAACACAGTTCCCAACCAAATAGGGCATATTACAATTTCCAGCAAAGTAGCATGGTGCCAGGTAACCAGTTGTCAGGCAAGACTTAGAGAGGAAGGTAGGGGTCTGACATCTTGAGGAAGCACATGTGCTGGTGAGACATGTGGTTTCTTCACAACAGTTCAGAGCAATTGTACAATCAGAATCCCCAGCACTGGATTCTGAAGGGCAGCCTGCAGGGGAGCACTCAGAAGTCATCTTATTGCAAGCGAAGAATGAAGACACACAGCAAAGCTCCAGGTGCCTGACTGCACAGTCTCCCTTCCTCCTGAGACTTTTATAGAGCCCCCCCAAAATGGTTATTTGCAGAATGCACCGGATGTTTTCTCCATCACTGCTGGTGGCTACCAGTCTTAATACAAACATTTCATTAGTGCTGTTTGTTTGCCGAGGAAGTTTTATGCCTCATAAAGTAGACATAACTTCAGGTTACTATATAAGGACACCAATTCCATGTGCCAGGAAGACAAAAAAATTGTTCTAGTAATTCTTCGTAGGAGGCATTGCCTTTTGACAGAATCAAGAAGGACAAAAGATCTGGTCAACTAGTTATTCTAGATTCCATTCACTGAAAATAAGGAAAAGAACATTCTCACAGGTTTTGATTCTGTGCATTGAAAATCATTTATGTCTTCTATTAAAATTAACATTACCATTCATTAAATGCAATTTATTGGTTTGGGCCACCCCCATAAAAATGTTCTGTGTGACTAGTAATCTTTGCAATGACTTTTGTGACCTTGCTGTGCTCAGTGGTAGAAGTGTGAGGCAAATACTGTATTTAAAATACATGCATGTGTGCATATACATGCAGATATGCATGTATTTTGTATATATATAAACCATATCTGCCTATGGGCAAGTTGGAAATTCACTTTGCAGGGGGTGGAGAGATAGTATAGCAGAAAAAGTGGTTGTTTTGCATATCGCCTACCCAGTTTCAGTCCCTGGTACCCACCAGGAGTGATCCCTGGACAAAGCCAAGTGTGGGCCCAAAAGGAAACAATAATTCCATGGAAAAAATTTGCATAAGTTACAGGAATAATTCGTGTCCTTTAGAACAGAATTTAAATAGTTATCATTACATATCATCTTGTATGCCTTGATTTCCTGAAACTTGCCTTCTTTGTATTTCCCATGTCTCATTTTTAGATCAGGTATACTGTTTTTTCACCTGTGTAAAAGTGAAACATATTTAAAAGTTAAAACATTTTATTTACTTCATAAATCCTAATTGTCTGTACTTCAGAATAGGGACATGAAAGCTAAAGAAGGCATTTCTTCTGAGCTCTGTAACGTTTTCTCATATACATACATGCATACTCCTGTATATATATATATGAATGTGTTATAAAGGCTTATATTTAGTACAAATGAAAAAACTCTGGAACTTGACATATATTTTTAATTGGGGTTATAAGTTATAAATTCTTTTTGATGAAATTTCTGGTATAATACCAAATAGATGTCAGTTGAGATGTGATTTATTGAGTTCTCTCTTGACTAATAACTCTATTACGAAGCACCATGTATTTAACTTCTCTTGCCTTTAATTTTATTCTTTATTTTACTTTTTAAAGAAAATCATCTCTTGAATTTTTGGATCAATATAAGGATGAAACGGCTGCTATTCTGACAAAGTCAAGATTTTTGTGATCCAGAAAAATCTTAATTGTTTTCTAATTGAATAGTACTTCCTAGGTACTGACAGACATTGGGAGAAATAAAAAAAAAACCACTAAAACAAAACAAAGAAGGCTTAAATAAATAGATTAAAATAGTTTCTTTAGATTAGTTATTCTTTAAGCTGTGTTGGATTTTATTTTATTTATATCTCATCAGTTTTGCTAAAATTTCTCTGGAACTCCAATGTTTAACATGTCAGACCTCTTGGTACTGTTGTTGGCTTCTCATATTCTGTTTATTTAAAAATATTTTTGTTCTAATGTTTCACTTTAGATAATTTTGATTTATTTTAATATTAAAAATTTTCATATTTGATCTTGAGGAATCAAAGTTCACCAATATTATTCCTAACAGCCCTCATCTACCTCGTTACTAAGGCTATGCATTCTTTGTTTTAAACAGTACTCTTTAGTTCTGGAAACCTCAAAGACTTTCTCTAATTTATTCAAATTCAATTTTTTAGATCTTATTTAAGAAAAATTCACCTTTCTGATGGGATTTCTCATTGTGTCCATTCTCTTTCCCTCATCTTTCCCTATAAGTCTATGAAAATATTTGTAACTGTTTAAGGTTTTTGTCAATTCCAACCACTGCTTATTTTCATTTGCTGCTCTTTTCTCTTGATTATGGAGATAATGGATAATTTTCATAATTCTATGCTATTTCATATGTCAAAAAATTTTTAATTAGATGAAATTCTTTAGTAATGTGCTTTAGAATGTCTCGACTGAGTTGTTATTTTCAATGTGTAGTTTTAATCTAAGAGGAAGTTAAATCAGTGGACGGTCTTGATTTTCTCAGACTGAGTTTTGGGCCTTGTTAGGGCAGGTAAGATTTGGTTCTCTGCTCCGGCTTATAAACCCTAACTCTAACCCTAATCTCACTGAAGGTCTTTCAGTTCCTTTTTATTTTAACTCGTCTGGAACTTCAATATGTAAATTTAATATTTTGATATTGAATGGTGGTATTGAATGACCTCTCATTTCTCAATTTAGTTCCTTATCCTCAGCAGTCACACTTTGATAAAATTATGAAATTTCATCCTAAGAGCATACATACAAACCCTCTGTCAGCACGTCATAAAATCTTTCATACAAACTTCTGCACTTTTCCTCAGAGTGTCATCTCTAGGATGCTGTTGTGATGCTGCCTTAACTCCCCTGGAATCTCTGTTTGTTCCTCAGACCAGGCATATGGAGCTGAACAAAGCAATTCTCTTTTGAATCCTTTCTCAGTTGGGGACATAACTCTGTCGTCTTATTTTTTCTTGGATACTTCTCCATATTCCTCTGGCTACTCATCAATTTGTCTTTGACTATGTAAAAGGTAAAGGTAAAGGCCCTCCCGTTGATCGTCGATTTGCTCGAGCGGGCCCAGTAACGTCTCCATTGGAGACTTTGTTGTTACTGTGTCTGGCATATCGAATACTCTCGGTAGCTTGCCGGGCTCTCCGAGAGGGGCGGAGGAATCGAACTCGGGTCGGCCATGTTGGCCGCGTGTAAGGCGAACGCCCTACCCGCTGTGCTATCGCTCCACTATGTATTTATTCATTTTTAATCTTCATTTCTTTCTTTCTTTCTTTCTTTCTTTCTTTCTTTCTTTCTTTCTTTCTCTCTCTCTCTCTTTCTTTCTTCCTTCCTTTCTCTCTCTTTCTTCCTTTCTGCTGGCAGTTCTCAGGGGACCATATGTGTCATGTTACAGATGCTAACCCAAGTCAGCTGTATGAAAGGCTAGTTTCTTACTCCCGGTATTGTATTATCTATCCAGCCCTCTTCATTTATTAATTGTTCTCATAGCACTATACTATTATTAGTGAGGAGTACATATATTTTTAGTTAAACTACAATGCTGAGCATTCAATAAATAATTATTAGCATTCAACAAATAATGATTAAGAATTATATAAAGAAACAAATAGGTATTGTGTATTTAATTGCCTGACAAGCCAAAACATTAATTAATTCTGATTGTGGACAATAAAATGCAGAGCATATATAGTAACTACTTGAAAATATTCATGAAATAAATAATATATGTTATTGATATGATATATAAATTGATCAGGCACTTGAATTAGTGATTTTATATCATAATTTGCCTTACCATGTCCAACATTTCTCAATCTATCTTAAACCACGTTTTGGGAAGACAGTCAAGGGAAGTCTACTTTTGATTATGCCAATACATGGGACCATCTTCTTTGCAAGCCTATTTAGTTTTTTTAAAAATAGCAATAACAATAAACACAAGCAGTATTTGTCCTGCCACCATTTTGATTTTTGCAGATATTTTTCACTTTTCTTAAAATGTCAATGTTTGAAGTTCAGAAATAAATTTCATGAATTTATAGAAATAAACAAAAATAATTATAGACAGCTGTTCTATGCCAGATATGTAAACTTTATTAGGAAGATCATGAAGAAGTTCCTCAGTTTCCAGAAAGATACCACTCAAAACTGAATGGAGATTTCCAAAGCCCCCAAAGAAATATACATTTTATAGAAAAGAATTGAATAACTTTGAACAACTCAGGCTTCTACCTGTTCAAATTGAACTTGATAGTAACATTTGCTACATGACCATTGAAAGTTTTTCTTTCTTTCTTTCTTTCTTTCTTTCTTTCTTTCTTTCTTTCTTTCTTTCTTTCCCTTCTTTTTTCTTTCTTTCTCCTTTCCTTCTTTCTTTTTCTTTCTTTTTTTGTTCTTTTTCTTTTCCTTCCTTCCTTCCTTCTGGAAGGAGGCTGAGTGATAGTACCGTCCTTATCCCGATGTCAAAAGCAGAGTCAATTAGTTGCAGGTCTTGAGACAGGGGAGCCCCAAAGTTTCTGGGATGACTCTTCCTGTGTCAGTCTCTGGGCATCCATCCTTCAGCAGCAGCTTGGAGGGAGGCAGGGGTCTTGACAGCCTGGCTGGGTGTAGGTAGTGAGGTTGAGGCTCTCCAGGCCTGGAGTGGGCTGGCTGGAGTTGAGCAGGAAGCAGGTGGGCACACAGGGCTGAGGAATGTGGCAGGGGGGTGGGCAGTTGTCACAGCAGGTGGGCTCCAGTAACCAGGTGGTGTGAGGGCAGGTGCTGGGCAGGCAAACTCCACACCTGCAGCACTTGTCAGAGGAGCAGATGGTGGTGGCAGGGCCGGTGGGGACGCTACAGCAGCAGTGGGGAGCACAACAGCAAGACATGGTGCTGGAAATCTGTGGGTTTTTTATTGGTTTAGTTTAAAGGAGGATGAGGCTTCTGGGGTGTGAATGTCTCCTTGCTCTGGGGCTCTTATATACCTTCCCCAGTGGGTGTTGGTTCAATAGGAGGCTTCTTTCCTGGTTCTTGTTAGTGTTAGTGTGCCCATTATCCTTTGATTGGTTTGACGTTTAGATGCTTGTAAAGAGACTCCATTCTCCTAATTGACCTTTAGTTGAGTTTATTGCTAAATCTCAACTTATTACTGCTGCTATTTGTACTTAGAGCACACATTTTATGAGGTATTACCAATGGCTTCTGCTATTGTAATTCCACCAGCCAGCCCTGCTGGGAATACAAGATGACGTGCACCTCTTGTTTGTTGGCCTTTTCTCTTATTCTGATCTATTTTATTCTCTTTACCTTGATTGTTGTCTATCAGTTTAAGATGAACTTAAATTTACTTCTTTTAGTTTTGGGATTCAAGATTAAAATTATGTTCATTGGAGAAAAATGCATTGAAATATAAATTCAAGTGTATATGTAAATACAAGCTCAAGTGTATATGTAAATATGCCCATTTCTGACTCTTTTTGAAACAAATTACTACTCAGTAGAATTATTGAAGTAAATGCTAATTGATAGTATCTCAATTCATTACTATTCATAACCATGCTGTCTTCCAGAATGGAATATTTGTCTTTTTTTCTATTAATATATTTCCACCAGCCGGGTTTGAGAATCCTGTTTCCCTACATGTTGACAGTTATAGCACTGTCTGTAGCACTGTCCTCCTATTGTTCATCGATTTGCTGGAGCGGGCCCAGTAACGTCTCCATTGTGAGACTTCTTGTTACTGTGTTTGGCATATCGAATACGTCCTAGGTAGCTTGCCAGGCTTTGCCGTGTGGGTGAGATACTCTTGGTAGCTTGCCAGGCTCTCTGAGAGGGGCAGAGGAATCGAACCTGGGTAGGCTGGGTCGGCTGTGTGCAAGGCAAACACCTTACCCATTGTGCTATCGCTCAAGCCCTTATTGACAGTTATTTCTTTTATTAAATGTTTGCTAATTTATTGGCTTAAAATGACATTTCATAATGACACTGAATTCACTTTTTCATTTCAAGCTAAGTTCAAACATTCTGTTGTGCATTGTCTTTCTATTGAGAACTCACATGCTTTTCTTTCTTAATTTCTAATTGTAAGAAAGTTGAATTTTTAACTTATTCTACAACTAAAAGAACAATTTAGGATTACAATATGAAAGTTCAAGTGAAATGGCTACCATTATAAAGTGAAGTTTCGGGCCTCTGCAATATTAATCTGTTCATGCTGATTTCATTTGCATTTTTTTTTCCTTCAGTGAAGTACATTTGATTCCCAAACCCAAACCCAATGTAGTTGTGGTAGAAAATACCTGGAGTCTGGTTTTGGGAAAACACTTAGGTTTTGGCTACCATTTAATATAGGGGAGAGAGAGAGAGGGAGGAGAGAGAGAGAGAGAGAGAGAGAGAGAGAGAGAGAGAGAGAGAGAGAGAGTTTGAGTGTGTTTCTACCTAGGACCAGCTTAATGCTACAAACATTTCCACTCAACCTTCATTGATATATCCTTCAAACCATGGATTTCTCATTACCTTCTCACTTCTTCCTTTAAAGTATGTCAGTGTGTGTGAGCATAAATATGGCTGGTCTTTGGTTGGGAATTTAGTGTAGAATTGCGGAACTACCCTAGAAGTCAGAGGGTGTTTCATGGTCCTACTATTTGTTGCCTTCTCTATTACACCAAGTAATTCACATTTTGTTTTTGCTTTATTATTTTTGGTTTTGTGACCATACCTGGTGGTTTTCAAGGCTTACTCCTGACTCTGATATAGGGATCACTCCTGGCGGGAATTTGGAGACCAAATGGGATGCTAGAGATCAAACCCTGGTGAGCCATATGTAAGGCAAGCACCCTACTTGCTGTACTATCACTCTGACCAGTAATTCACATTTTGAAACTTAACTTGCTCCTCTGCAAAATGAGGATTAATAATACCTACATTCTTCCACTTAGAAGATTAATGTGAAACTTCTATGAAACAAAATGAATGAAAGCCTCTGGGAACCAGAATGAGCTATTTAAAGATAATTTATGGTATTTATCTAAGTAAATTAAAAGTCAAACTCAAGGTAAAAGAAAAGAAAATTAAAAAGTTACCACAGGAGGAAATTTATAGAATAAAATTTGAAGGTAAATAAAACATATTTTATAGGCATTAGCAAACATTAACCTAAAAGTCTACACCGACAATTATAGAAAGTATAGCATAGTGGTAGGGTGTTTGCCTTGAACACAGGCAACATGGCCGACCCGAGTTCAATTCCTCCGCCCCTCTCTGAGAGCCTGGCAAGCTACAAGAGTATCTCGCCCACACGGCAGAGCCTGGCAAGCTACCTGTGATGTATTCGATATGCCAAACACAGTAACAACAAAGTCTCCAATGGAGATGTTACTGGGCCCGCTCCAGCAAATCGATGAACAACGGGAGGACAGTGACAGTGACAGAAATGAACAGATTTCAAATTTTAGAAAAGTTTGCTAAATAATATGCAGATTCCTCAAAAAAAGTAAAAATAATATTCTTCTGATGACCCAGTGATTCTAGTTCCTGACATCTACCCCAAAACATTAATTTGAAAAGATCAATGCACACCTATCTTCATTGTACTACTTATTATAATAGCCAGAATATGGAAACACTGAAAAGTCAGAAAGCAAAGGAATGGATAAGAAAAGATGAATTTTTATAGTTTTCTGCAACATTGATGGAACTGGAGGGCACCATGTTAAACAATGTAAGTCAGAGGGAGAAAAATAAACACTGGATTGTCTCACTATTCTAATTTGTTGCATATAGAGATTAAAGAAGAAAATAGTATTGGAAAATGACAAACCTTGGTCTCATAAAACTGGTAATAAACAGAGGTCAGGGGGAGGAAGGACAGAGGGGAATAAAGATCAGATCCAGAAGACATAAGGACATCGTGGAGGGTCATAGACACTTTGGTAGTGGAGATTGGGTACCGTAGCATTGTACATCGATATCTGAGCTAGCACTGTAGCACTGTTCTCCCATTGTTCATCGAGTTGCTTGAGCAGGCCCAGTAATGTTTCCATTGTGAGACTGATTGTTACTGTGTTTGGCATATCAAATACGTCATGGGTAGCTTGCCAGGCTTTGCCGTGCGGGCGAGATGTTCTTGGTAGCTTGCTGGGCTCTCTGAGAGGGAAGGAGTTATTCAACCTGTATCGGCCGCATGCGAGGCAAACGCCCTACCAATGTGCTATCACTCCAGCCATAATAAAAAATATTTAATTTTTTTCTGTAGCCCAGCAAGCTTTATAATGGTTGACGTATTCGTATATGCCAAAAACATATTCATGACATATTCAATACCCCTGATGTATTCGATATGCCAAAAAACAGTAACAACAAATCTCACAATTTGTTGTGAGACGTTACTGGTGCCCGCTCGAGCAAATCGATGAACATCAGGAGGACAGTGCTATAGTGCAGTGCAGTTCTGTTCGAAGAAAATATTTATTATATCTGTGGCATCCCGTCTTACCCCCCCCCCCCCCCCCATATTAACTTTTAGGAAATAAATTCATGCTAAGTAGATCTTCTTTATTTAGGACTCGCTAACACTTTATTCAGTTTTTTAAAAATTCATCAACCTTTGTTTTTTAGATACCATATATCTGACACTGTGATAAATGCCATACACAGAGCAGTGAATAAAAAGAACATCACTCCTGTTTTCCTTGTTCTTTGTTTGTTTGTTTGTTTGGCTTTGGAGAGACACATCGAGATGCTCAGGGCTCACTCCTGGCTTTACACTCAGGTATCACTCCTGGTAGACCTGGGGGACTGTATGGGTCGCTAGAGATTAAACCCAGGTTGTTTGCATGAAAGACAAGCTCCTTTCTCTCTGGCCCTCACTTCTGTTTTCTAAGAACTTAGGCTGTGGTGGAAGGTTCATCACACACCTAACACACCATTATAAAGTGCTATTACCGAAAGGGAAAATACCACGTTTAAGGGCAAAAATCAATAAACAGAAGAAAATTATTTTGCCAGTTAGGGAAAATGTTACAAAGGAATCTGTTACAAATGTCACAGGCTCTTACAATTAGTATTTCATGACTGAAAGTTATAAATCTCCTATTTAGATCCCATATTGCTTTGAGTCAACCTGGTAAGGACAAAAGGATTGAGACTATTGTGTAGAATATTATGCTTTCCTTTTTAATAAATAAGACTGAATATAATGGGTTAGAAACAGTGGTAAACTATCAGATTTATTGTAATAAATGCCTCTCTTTTATGGCAAAACTTTCAATACTTTATTAAACTCCATATTCCCTGCAGTAGTCTTCATTTATAGAAAGTGTATAAATTAGGATGATGACTCCTGAAGAGGTAAGTTTGTCTGCCTTAGATAGCTTGTTAAAACACTAAATGTAGGATCTATTAGGATGAAGTGACCTTTAATGTGGTTTAAAATACAAGTTTAAAGGATGTGTCAGTGATATAAACATGTTATTTTAACATAACTAGGGTATTTTTCCTTTACGAAATTCAGGAAAACAGTGATTCTTCATTAGGTAAGATGTTGTCAAAGTGCTGAAAACACACACACACACACAACATTGTCTAGAATTTACTATACTATTCAATAGTTAATAAGGCTATCTATGCCAGTGAAAATATCGATTACAATTTAATACTAAAAAGAGATGGAGCAAAAATATGATTATGTTAGTTTCTTGCTTCAGTTCATTTGTGTCTTGGAGGTTCTAAGCCCCTTTGTTTGTGAAGCCTTGCCTTAGAAGGTATATGTATATAGATCGCCTTTCTTACCTCATCCTCTTAACCCTGTCTCTAATGCTTCCAAGAATTATTAAGCCACTGTTCTGTTTGGAGCAACTATAACTACTTTGTAATCTTTTAATGCTTAGTC